ACACACATACACACACATACACACACATACACACACATACACACACATACACACACATACACACACATACACACATACACACACATACACACACATACACACACACACACACACACACACACACACACACACACACACACACACACACACACACATACACACACATACACACACTTCCCCGGTGGAGAGCCTCCAGGCCGTGGCAAACATACCACCACTCTCACTCAGACGCACACAACTCTCTCTACAATACGTAACAGAGCTCAACACCAGAGAACCCAGCACACAACTGCATTTTTAAAACAAACCCAGAAACCATAAACAAATTCCAAAACAACGAAAAACTCATCAAACCCTACGGTCTCAGAATCCTTGAGGACCTCAAAAACTTACACTTTTCCAAACAAGACATCCAACAATTTCTTTTCCCCGACCTCCCTCTGTGGCACCTCACCAAGGCAAAAGTAGACTTACAGCTGACCACACACGACAAAGAAAGCACAAACACCAAAACATTTAAAGCAGAACATAAAAAACTTATAGAAAACGGCGCAGAGCTTATCTTCACAGATGGCTAAAAAAAAGACAATGTGGGCGCCGCAGCCCTATCTTCCAACAGTACACACCAGAGGAGACTCCCTCCTGAAGCCTCCATTTTCTCTGCGGAGGCCACTGCCATTGACAAATCTTTCCTTATCCTTTCTGACTCTTTGTTTGTTTGTTTTTGTAAAGTGTTTTACGGCGCTCGCAACTGCATAGGTCATATGAGCGCGCGGGACACACCTAATATTTTCAGTTGGTAGGAAATTTTGAATTTTGCCCGGGTGGCGGCCGAAGCCTACTCTTATCGATTTTAGACCACCAAGGGATCTTTAATGTGCGCAACTTGCACACGGGCCCTCCGAGATTTTTCGCCCTTGTCCGAGAAGGCTAGGTGTAGATCTTTCCCACCAGAAGATCAGAGGTGTGGCAGAAAGACAGCAGTAAAGAGGAGCCAAGGAGTAGCAGTAGAAAGGCTGCAGAAAGAGTCAGGAGCCCAGAGGAGGGGCAAAGGGGTTGCGGGGGTGGGGGCAGAAAGTGGAATTGAAAGCAGACGACAGAACATTGCTAGAGAGCAGGAAAGGAGGTGAAAGGAGACAATTTTAGAGAAGAAAATATTTCGGTCGCTACCCGGATTCGAACCCGGGACCTTTGAATGAGAGGCCAACACCTTAACCTCTAGGCCACGAAAGCTCCCTTTCTGACTCTGTCTTGCATCACCTCACTCACAAACTACACACTCCTACCCCCAAAATTAGTTAGGCTACAACAGAAAATTCACACCCTATCTAAAACAGGAAAAAATATCGTGTTTGCATGGATACCAAGCCATGTGGGCTTCCGAGGAAACGAGCAGGTAGACGACATGGTGAAGAAATCCTCATCTCTTCTGTCGGGATCAACGACGAACACTCTCCCACTGACTTTAAAAATACAGTCAAAAAGTACACTTCCAATCTGTGGGAGAGCCACTGTAAAAAACTCAGAAAAATAATACTCTATAATACAAAACCCAAACTGGGGCAGCGAAATCCTTCGGACCTCTCCAGAAGAGACGAAGTAATTTTTACTCGATTGCGCATCGGGCACACGGCCCTAACAGACAAATACCTCCTTCAGGGAGATGAGAACCCGTTCTTCTTCGGATGCGACACAGATTTCACCATTAAACACATTTTAACCGAATGTCTAGACTTTGGAGAGATCCGAAGGAAATACTTTAAAAGCAAAAAAATTGCAACACATTTTTTCCGTCGTTGGTCCCAACAGAATTTTGAATTTTATGAAGGCCATTGGCCTTTATGAAAAGTTGTGATGTAGAACAAAATTGAATAATTAATTTTTTTTATGGAAGTTGTTTTAGTCTGTAATTATATATCTACATCAAATTTTTAATATTTTAACTTTTAAGATCAAATAACCCGTACATAGCCGTGCAGTAAACCACGAATAAAAAAAACAACCCAACTTGTGTTTCGCGCGCTCATATAACCTTATGCTGTTGCGAGCGCCGTAAAACCCCATACTAAACAACCAAAAACCTTCAGTAGCCGTTCTGTGTCGGATGCGACACCGATTTTACCATGAGACACATTTTTACAGAATGTCTGGACTTCGGAGAGACCCGAAGGAAATATTTTAGATGCAAAAAATTGCAAGATCTGTTTTCCGTCCTTGACCCCAACTGAATATTCGATTTTATAAAGGTCATTGACCTTTATGGGAAGTTGTGTATGGGATTGTTTAAAAGATTTAATATTATTTAAAAAGTTGTTTTCAATTAATTTATTTACATCAAATTTTTATCATTTTAGTAGAGGTGTTGACCAGAATCGGTCTGTGCAATGAACTGTTGCGAATAGAACCAACCTTTTTTCGCGCGCTCATATAACCCTATGCAGTTGCAAGTGCCGTAAAACTATTACTAAAAAAATCCATCAAACACCTATTTCACAAAGGTCTGGTGTCATTTTAAGTGACCAAAGCACTGCGTGTGGGGGGTTGGCAGGTGATCTGGTGTGTTTGGTCCTTCTTTCCTATCAAGCATCTATCATCTTGATTTCCCCTCCTTCTTTTTGTGCTTATTACTTCCGTGTAACAACTCTAATCTTCGGCACTTTTATGACCTAATTGTGTTGCAAGTGCGGTAAAACTCTTACTTAAACTAAAAACACTTACGAAAAAAAAAGTACCGCGTAAAATAGTTACAGCAAAACGTCGTGAAGCAAAAAGCCACCAGAAGATGCAGGGTTGTGAAGAGTTTCACTGACGCACCGGATGTTTTTCTTTTGCAGGGCGTGCTGAAGCTGAGCACGGAGCTCCACTCGGCCAGGCAGCAGCTGTGGGGGTCGTAGTCGGCCCTGCCCCTCTCCCTCTAAATCTTCCCCTGGCAGCTGCCCCTGCTCCTCTACCTCTTATTCTTCCCCTGGCAGCTGACCCTGCCCCTCTACCTCTAAATCTTCCTTTGGCAGCTGACCCTGCCCCTCTACCTCTAAATCTTCCTTTGGCAGCTGACCCTGCCCCTCTACCTCTAAATCTTCCTTTGGCAGCTGCCCCTGCCCCTCTACCTCTAAATCTTCCTTTGGCAGCTGACCCTGCCCCTCTACCTCTAAATCTTCCTTTGGCAGCTGACCCTGCCCCTCTACCTCTAAATCTTCCTTTGGCAGCTGCCCCTGCCCCTCTACCTCTAAATCTTCCTTTGGCAGCTGCCCCTGCCCCTCTACCTCTTAATCTTCCTTTGGCAGCTGCCCCTGCCCCTCTACCTCTTAATCTTCCTATGGCAGTTCACCCTGCCCCCCTCCCTCTTAATCTTCCTATGGCAGCTGACCCTCTCCCTCTTCCTCTGAATCTTCCTGTGGCAGTTCACCCTGCCCCTCTCCCTTTTAATCTTCCTATGGCGCCTCATCCTGCCCCTGTCCCTATCCACCATCTTCCTCTGGCAGTCGACTACGCCCCTCCGGCTGTGGTATTCAACAACCCAGATGCTCCTCGTGGATGGCACCGGGCTCATCCAATGCCAGGCTTGCAGGCGACGTTTCCCATCATCATTGTTGCACCTGCAGCCTGGCATCCACAAGCTCCACCACCTTATGGCGTAAGTGTTTTGTTTTGTTGGATATGGTTTAGATTTTCTTTTCTTTTTGTTTTGTTTTGTTTTTTGGTTGTATTTTTGTTTTTGTACCCTCTTTTTTTTCTTGTTTGTTTTAGAAGTAAAAGTTTTACAGCGCCTGTAACTGCATTAAGGTCATTGGAACGTGAGGGACTCCAACGTATTTTACTGTATGGTTGAAGTTAAGGCTTCGTGGTCAAAATGTATTTTGCTTTACGATTGAAGTTGAGAATTCTTGGTCAAAATCCAATAGTAACAACAGACATTTTTATCGTTTTGTATAACAGTATTATCCGTATTTTTACTTTAAAGACCAAAAATGGAGAATTCTGTTAGGACCAACGATGGAGGAGAACAATTTCTTCAAATCAGTGCTTTTAAACTAATTCCTTCAAGTCTCTCCAAAGTCTGGTAAATTCCAGGTCGTCAGATCGGCATCGCATCTGACACAAGATTAATGTTCCAACCTTCCCCATGGCTCTTGGCAACCTGTTGTTTCCCGTTTTTATTCAGATAGGAAGTCCGCTTCTAAATGATGATGATGATGATGATGGGGGTGATAATAATAATAATAATAATAATAATGATGATGATGGTGATGATAATAATAATAATAATAATAATTTTTCTTTTTCTTCTCTCACAGGCCTACAATTTTGTCATTCACGTGGCTGAAAGAGACATTGTAAACTTCATGGGGCAGCAGCAGGGACGGAGACAGTTGGTTCCAGGAGGCCGGAGACTGCCTCTCCCTCTCCCTCCTGTCCCTCTTCTACCTCTCCCTCCTGTCCCTCTTCTACCTCTCCCTCCTCCCCCTGCTGCTGCTGCTCCTCCTCACGCTGGCCAGTCTGTGTGGAAGCGAGTGTGGGCGTCTGTGTCTTCGTTTGTACGTTCTGTTTTAAACTTTTTTAGGTAGTGTGTGTGTGTGTGTGTGTGTGTGTGTGTGTGTGTGTGTGTGTGTGTGTGTGTGTGTGTGTGTTTATGTGTGTGTGTTTGTGTTTTTGTGTTTGTGTGTGTGTGTGTGTGTGTGTGTGTGTGTGTGTGTGTGTTACTAGAGTTACATGAAACGCTGTAGATGTTTCTTGAGTTTCATGAATTGTAAATGGCCTGACTCATGTCACGCTCATAACTGTGCCTGATCTACAACAGGGAACTGCTGCTTTTTCTTTTCAGATCCTTACTATTGACATTTTCCTCTACTTTTGTATGTTTGTCACTCATTTGTGACCTGCTATTTCCGGGGAGCCTTATTAGTCGAAGCAGACCTTGTGTTGTTGAAGCTAGAGAGGTGAGCAGTCTAAGTCTGATTCCCTGTAAAGACTTCTCTGTTGACACCCACCCCTTGGCTCTCATATGACCTTATGCAGTTGTGAGCGCCGTAAAACCCTCTATTATTAAAAAAAAAGTTACATGAAACGCCGTAGTTGTTTCTAGAGTTACAGGAAACGCCGTAGCTAGCAAGGTTTAGAGCAAGGGTGTAGAGATTGTATGTATGGGACTGTATGTACTCTTGGCTCTCTTTATTTGTCGGCCCATAAATCGCAGCTGCAGACAGACTTGTGCGGTGTCGCAGTCAGACACGCGAGAGATGTGAGTTGGAATCTGTAATAGTCTTTCTGATGACACGTTGGTTGTGGGTGGTTGGCGGGTGCTCTGGTGTGGTTTGCTTTTCTATCAAACGTATATCGTCCTTATCGCACCTCCATCTTTTTTATGTTTGTTACGCTCTTGTAACACCTCTAATCTTCTGGCGCACATATGGCCTTATGCTGTTGCGAGCGCCGTAAAACCTCTTCATTGCCCCCCCCCCCCCCCGGGCCCGAGTCGGCTGTGACTGGCCTGGTCCAAGTGACCCGATTCATGAGAATCTCGGAACTGTTGGAAGATCCACTTTCTGGTCATTCGAGAAATGGTCAAGACGACCTTTTTGTAAGTGGCGTCGGTGGCCTAGTGGTTAGGCTACCGGACTCGTAATCGTGAGATTGCAGGTTCGGGGGTTCGAGACTCAGCTCGGTCCGACATTGTGTCCTTGGGAAAGGCATTTTACACGAATTTCTCACTTGGTTCCGTCCTGTCGGAGATGGACGTTAAACTTGGAGGTCCCGCCTCTTAAATAATCTAACAGTGTTGATAGGGGCGTTAAACCTATACCCTTTTTACTTTCACCCTTTTGTAAAAGAAGAGTGCCTTCGTTATCCGAAATGATTTTTTACTTTGCTTTTACTTTTATCCGCCGCTTATACCCCTTTGGTTGTCGCGTGAAGAAAAAGACGTCTCTCTGTCGCCAGCCGGAGACCTTGGGTCAGGGGGATGCCGTGGGTGGTTAATGTTTCCCTGACTCCATCTATCCAGGTCCTACTCTGTCGCCCTCTAGCCTTGTTGCAATTGAATTTTTTAAAATGTTGGCACGTTGTGCTGGATGGTGTGTTGGTAATCGCATAAGATGTCCAAACCATTTGATTCTTTGGTATTGGATGTGTTGCATGACATCATTTGAGCCCCTTTTCTCAGTTGACTGTTTCTTTTTTTGTCTCGCCTGGTCTTGTTTACTGCTTTTCTTTCTAAATTCTGTTTTCTTCACCTGCAACTACTTTTGTCTAGCAACATGCACGCTATGAAGTGTGGGAATTCCCCGTTCTCATTTATGTAAGTTTATTCAGTGTTTAAGGCCATTGGCCCTCATCAAATTACATAAAACACTCATTTGATAGATAAAGTCACCATAATAAATAAGTAAAGTTTGTAAACATATCTCTTATCACGGGTCAGACATTGCATATATCTGTCACTGGGCCGAGTCAGGCTGGGCGGGGGGTTGGGGGGGGGGGGGGTTGGGGGGGGATTAACAATTTGCTTTGATGGACAAAGTGTGAACAATAGAAATTAAAGTGAAATTCATCTTCAATTTCCTTAGAGTTACACCTCTCACATAAGGGCGAATTCGTTCATTTCCACCAATAGAGATTGCTATGTCATGGAAGGCTATCGGTTTTTAACAAAGCTATGACTTTTCTGCTCCAATACCGTGGGAGGTTGGTGGTGGTATATCCAGCTGTTTCTGATTTCTGTAGAATGGTTTGAAATGGGCTGCCATGTTACACCGAATTTAAATATTTTAACTTTTTAGCATGTTAAAGTAAATTAGTTAACCAGTCGTGAAGTGAACTTTTGCAAAGGTGAACAACTTGTGTTTCGCGCGCTCATATGACCTTAGCACTTGCGAGCGCCGTAAAACATTATAGTATACCATACCGTCATCTCAGGTGTGTTGCAAGTGCCGTAAAACTCTTACTAAAACCAAACTTTATCTCAGTTGTTTAGCAAGTGATGTAAAACTCTTACTAAAACCAAACTTTATCTCAGTTGTGTTGCAAGTGCCGTAAAACTCTTACTAAAACTAAACTTTATCTCAATTGTTTATCATGTTCTTCGCGGATCCTAATGAGGCGTTACTAGGCGTCCGCTCTTTGTGGAGTATTCTAAATAGGAGCTGTGGGTGGTTGGCGGGTGCTCTGGTGTGATTTGCTTCTTCTTTCCTGTCGAATAAGTATCGTTTTTGTCTCCCCTTCTCCTTTTTATGCTTGTTACTCTCTTGTAACATTGGGTTGATAGTGCCGTAAAACATCTACTCAATCAAATCTCTTGTAACACCTCTAATCTTCGGAACTAATATGACCTTATTGTGTTGCAAGTGCCATAAAACTCTTACTATGGGGCTCTCGGGTCCTAGAGGTTAAGGTGTTTGCCGCTCATTCAATGATCCCGGGTTCGAATCCCGGTAGCAACTGAAAAACTTTTCTTCTCTAAAATTGTTTCACTTCACTTCTTTTCTTGCTTTCTGGCAATGTTCTGTCGTCTGCTTTCGTCTCCTCTTTCTGCCCCCACCCCTCACCTCCTCTGGGCTCCTGACTCTTTATACAGAATTTCTACTGCTACTCCTTGGCTCATTCTAACTGCTATCTTTCAGCCACACCCCTGATCTTCTGGTAGGAAAAATCTACTCCTAGCCTTTTCGGACAAGGGCAAAACATTTCGGAGGGGCCGAGTGCAAGTTGCGCTCATAAAAAATCCCTTGATGGTAAAAAAAAACGATAAGAGTAGCCTTCGGCCGCCACCCGGCCAAAATTCAAAACTTCCTACCAACTGAAAATGTTTAATGTGTCCCACGCGCTCATATGACCTTATGCAGTTGTGAGCGCCGTAAAACATTTACAAAAAAAAAATCTCCCCCACCCCCTCAGCTTCTCCTACTCTGTGTCTTCCTTCATCCCTCACTCCACCAGCACCTCAAAGAACTGACGTTCAGGAACACATCGTTATGATCCCTGCCATATTCTGGCATAATACCAACTGAGCTAAAGATGCTCAAAAGAAAGCCCCAAGTGGAGAAAGATGCGAAATGGGTGGGTGGGTGGAAAGGAAGTCAAGCAAGGGTTTTCAAACATAGGCTAACTAGGCACTGCCGTGAAGTTTTCAAACTTCTCCAAGGGCACTGAAATTAGGAGTATAGGATAGAGCGTGGCTTTCTGTTTCAGAGATTTTAAAATGTTTTTGCTATCTTTGTTAGTCCAGAAGCAGCGGCCATTTTTGTGAATCAACTTTCGCCCTGATTCTGCCAAATGTTTGTACTGCATTTTGTGCCACCAAATTTCCAAATCTTGCTTCAAAGCGTCATAAAATCCTTAACCCTATCCGTACGTCCTGGGATCGTTTTGTAGCCCCGGGGTTGTATTTTTCACATTTTAAAATACTTCTAGCACGAAGATTTATTTGAAACTTTCAGTATTTCTCAAAAAATAGTTTTGACAGACTGCTATGCAAAGCGTACGGATCGGATTAACACTTCGGAAAGTGGTGGCACAGAGTTCCCCACGTCGTATGGATGCGATAGTAAAACACGACGTACGGATAGGGTTAATAATAGTTGTATCGTAACCACTGAGGTATCATTTTGTTCGTTGTTTTATGTAGAATCAATAAATAAGCAATAAACATTGAGAGTAAATTCAAATTAGCGTTTAATTACGTCATAAGCGTGACGTAGGGAGCCCGATGCGTATTATCCAAAATAGAAAGGTGCTGTTCAAATTTAATCTTACACAATTTATAACCATTGATAATTTGAAATGTACTCGCCATATTTTATTTTAACTACCCTTGTTGATAAACCATTCTTTGTTCTACCAGAAAACGTTTCAATGGTTATCTTAGAAGTGTTACCTTGGCTTGGCAAGTCTTTCCCTTTTATCCACCAAATCCGCGAAGACCTCGCTGAACCCTTCCACCGAGACATCGCCCCGAGCCGTGACGTCACACAGTTTTCGCCTAGAGCTTCCGGCTGGCTCTGTTCATTGTTGGAAATGTACAAGACAGGGCAGGGAAATACGTTTTACATCACACGGAGATTTTGGAACTTCAGTTTGAAAGGTAAATAAATTTTGGTATGTTCTATAACCACTGACTTTAAATTGTACCCAATTTCATTCGAAATTCTAAAGAAAACGAGACTATTTAGAGCAAACATTTCTTTTTCACTGAGCCCCCCCCCCCCCTTTTTTCCACTTTTTCCTGCCCACAGCCTTTGGGGCTGTTCAAATATAATCTTAAACCTTTTGGAGGTCTTTTTGCCTCCTCCCCCCCCCCCCCCTTTTTTTAATTTTCTTACATTTGCCTCTCCCCGCTGCCCCCCCCCCAATCCCCATCCCACAATATTACATTGTTTGCTTATATAATAATAATACATGTCATATGATTTATATCGTGCAAATCCGTGTTACAATCATTGTTCTATGTACTTTACATAATATTTATGAAAGACATGCCAATACAAATACATTGCACTTAATAATATATATGCAGTTCTACATTCAATTTTATAAAAATAAAGTAAATCATTCAAGCAAAATATTGTATATACTCTTTCTTACTAATAAGGGAAAAAATGAGACTCATGTCAATGTCAAAAGTACTTTGATTACAAATAACACAAATTACAGTGGAATTCTGATAAAGTCAACACCTCAGGACCGAAAAAAAGTGTTGACTTTGAGAAAAGTTGACTTTATCCACTGTACTACTTGAAATTGAAAATTGGTAACAGTTACAAAACAACTGGTAACAAAATGTTTGCTCAATTTCAGCGAGATAATTCTGAAGTTGTCACCAAAACAAGAGATAATGAGTGAACAAAGTAATTGGAGGTGTGTACACCACTAGCTCAGGCCCTAAATATCTATTCTTAACTGAATTCATCTTGGAATCTAGCCTAAAATTATTGACTTTACGCAAGGTTAACACTCAAGCGGTTGACTGTACCTGAAACACAATTATTTAAACAAAGAATGTAAGAAACGGCACCACAATGAGGTGTTGACTGTAAGTAAGAGTTGACTTTAAGCAAGTTGACTTTATCAGTATTCCACTATATCTGTTATGACTGATCATTATGCTTAAAACAAAAAGTGAAATTAGTTATCAACAAAGGCAGTGTTCATCAATACTTCAAAAATATTGTTAAAATCAGGGGCATCTGCTGAGCTGTCTTCCAAATCTGGGTCCTGTTCCTGCTCTTCCTCCTCTTCCTCCACTTCTTCCTCTTCCTCCTACCCCCAGTGGGTCGGGGGGATATAAATAGACCCACTGCTCCGCCAGCAGGAGGTGCAACCCCTTCACTGGCGATTTGTCGCCCATGGACATCTACGCTCAGGTGCACATGGGCGACACTTGCTTTGGTGTATTGTCTGTCTTCTATCGTCTTTCTTCCTTCTTCTTTCGTCCTTCCCCGAGCTGACCGGGGAATAAAATAAAAATAGTAGGCTGTCCCATCAACAGGGGGTGTAAACCCCCCCCCCCCGCTGGTGGGATGCCACTCATACGTCACTAGCTCTCTGACGTAGGGGTGGCATCTTTTGTCCGCTCTTGCTATGTCTTCTATCCATCTATCTTTCTTTAAGTTTTGTCGACCGAAGGTCCGGTCCAGCAAAAAATAGACCCCGTTCCCCGCAACCCGAGGCACCCTGTTGACCGTAGGGTGCGACCCGTACTTCCTCCTCTTCCTCCTTTTCCTCCTCTTCCTCCACGTCCATTTCTTCCTCCGTCCTTTGTAAAGCCCTGTGCCTCTTCAATGCTGCAATACTTGGAAAATACTTTCCACATCCCTTGTGGCCTGTGCACACTCTTTGGCCTCTGCAGCCTTTCTTGACCAACACCAGTGTTTTTCCCCTTCACGAAAGTGTAATATTACATTGGTTCAAGACACCCCCTCCTTTTCTTACACTTTTCTTACAGGAGCCAAAGTAGGGGTGGGGTGGGGGTGGGTGGGGGGTCTTTGGCTCCTTTAAGAAAAGTGTAAGAAAATGAGGTGGAAGGGGGGAGGGGTAAGTAAGATTACACTTTTGTGAGGTGAAAATATAACAAGGAAAAGAATTGTGGTATTGGTCAAGAAAGGCTGCATAGACCAAAGAATGTGCACATGGGCGACACTTGCTTTGGTGTATTGTCTGTCTTCTATCGTCTTTCTTCCTTCTTCTTTCGTCCTTCCCCGAGCTGACCGGGGAATAAAATAAAAATAGTAGGCTGTCCCATCAACAGGGGGTGTAAACACCCCCCCACCCCTCCCGCTGGTGGTATGCCACTCATACGTCACTAGCTCTCTGACGTAGGGGTGGCATCTTTTGTCCGCTCTTGCTATGTCTTCTATCCATCTATCTTTCTTTAAGTTTTGTCGACCGAAAGTCCGGTCCAGCAAAAAATAGACCCCGTTCCCCGCAACCCGAGGCACCCTGTTGACCGTAGGGTGCGACCCGTACTTCCTCCTCTTCCTCCTTTTCCTCCTCTTCCTCCACGTCCATTTCTTCCTCCGTCCTTTGTAAAGCCCTGTGCCTCTTCAATGCTGCAATACTTGGAAAATACTTTCCACATCCCTTGTGGCCTGTGCACACTCTTTGGCCTATGCAGCCTTTCTTGACCAATACCACAATTCTTTTCCTTGTTATATTTTCACCTCACAAAAGTGTAATCTTACTTACCCCTCCCCCCTTCCACCTCATTTTCTTACACTTTTCTTAAAGGAGCCAAAGACCCCCCACCCACCCCTACTTTGGCTCCTGTAAGAAAAGTGTAAGAAAAGGAGGGGGTGTCTTGAACCAATGTAATATTACACTTTCGTGAAGGGGAAAAACACTGGTGTTGGTCAAGAAAGGCTGCAGAGGCCAAAGAGTGTGCACAGGCCACAAGGGATGTGGAAAGTATTTTCCAGGTATTGCAGCATTGAAGAGGCACGGGGCTTTACAAAGGACGGAGGAAGAAATGGACGTGGAGGAAGAGGAGGAAAAGGAGGAAGAGGAGGAAGTACGGGTCGCACCCTACGGTCAACAGGGTGCCTCGGGTTGCGGGGAACGGGGTCTATTTTTTGCTGGACCGGACC